CAGCGCAGCTGCCAGTGCCACATATTTGGGTACTATGTCCAAGCCACAAGTCCCCCAAGGTTCCCCTGACCATACCAGGAGCACACACATGGCTCCCAGGAGCCTAGTAGGGGTTGCAAATGGTGTATGCCATCCTGGTCTGGGGAAGGGATCTTGGCCCTCCTGGAGGTGTAGGACAACAAGGAGAACCTCCAGGATCTCTACTCCAGATGGCACAATACTGACATCTACGACCAGATGGCCGAGAGCCTGTCCACGAAGGGCCACACCAGGACTCTGGAACAGGTCTAGAGTAAAGTTAAGGAGCTCTGGCAAGCCTACTCCAGGATGAGGGAGTGCAGCTCATGCTCCAGGGCAAGACTCCACTCCTGCCAATATTTTGATGACCTGCACAGCATCCTGGGGCGCGATGCAGCCCCTTCCTTACCCCTGGTTGTGGACTCGGGGCTGGAAACTCCCACTGTCACCTTCCCAGGGGGTCCCACTCCATGAAGAGGAGGAGGAGGAAGAAGAGGAGGATGCAGCCAACACGGTGACCACCATTACCCTTGAGCCAGTACCCCACAGCCTGGGTGTGTCCCAGGCACCCTCCAAGGCTGGGGAGGGATCATCAAGTGAGCAATCTTAGTTTTTCACACACACAGGGTGGGGATGGCGGGTGCTGAGGGGCTATGGCGCAATTGTTGTTGGCCTTTCAGCCTGGCCATCGCGCTGCAGTCCATGCATGTGGATGCATGTGCAGTGCCAGTCCTTGCCATGCAAACCCAGGAGGCAGCCCCTGAGCTCCTGCTCACAGGCTCTGGGGAAGCTGCCCACACTTCTGACTCCTGGCAGGGTTGCCCTCCCACCACCAGCCACTGCTGGAAGGAGGCTGGGGACAAGGGCACACATCTCCCTGCACACCGACTCTGGAGTTCCACACATGGCACACTCAAAGCAGCATCCATTCCCGGGGACTGTGCTGCCAGGTGCAGGTGTATGTGCAGCCCCGATGGAGTCCCAGGCTGCTCATGGCCCATCTCCCAGACCCCAGCATGGCCGGCCATTTTCCTTCCCTGCTTGTTCATGGGACATGGGAAGGGGAGTAGGAAGCATGGTCCCTTGGGGACCTCTGGGCCCTGGTAAGGCAGGGCCCTTTGTGCAGGCCACACATGGCCTTGCTCCTGGGACATCACCATCCTCTGATCCAGGAATTGTTGCTCTCAGCAACCTGATAAGGACAAGGCCTCAGAGACAGTGTCTCGGGGGATGAATTATCACCTCTCTTTATTCCCCCCAGATGGACCAGATGTGACTGTGGGGTGATCAACACCAGTTAAGCCCGCCACTTGGGGGAGCCACAGACGTTGGAATGTCCAGGAGGACCTGATAAGGGAGCATGTGTCCATCCTCCAGAACATGCAACAGAGGTTGGCCCAGAAGGTCTAGGATGACATGCAGTGGTGGGCCCAGATGTGTATATCATAAAATCATAGAGCTGAAAGAGATCTTAGGTGGTCATGAAGTCCAGCCCCCTGCCCAAAGCAGGACCAATCCCAACTAAATCAACCCAGCCAGGGCTTTGCCAAGCCAAGACTTAAAAACCTCTAGGGATGCAGATTTCACCATCTCCCTAGGTAACCCATTATAGCTCTTCACCATCTTCCTAGTGAAATAGTTTTTCCTAATACCCAACCTAGACTTCCCCCACTGTATGCAACTGTCAGGTTGCTCATGACCTACCCAGCACTAGTCCCAATCCCTGCTCAAGTCCCCCCTCCCTCTCCCATGCCTGACCCCTCTCCAGTCCACTCTCCTGCCTATTCCCCTTTCCCCCCCAGGACTCCCACCCCCCAGACTCGAGGTCCCCGCACAAGAGACAGAGGAAGGAGCCAAGCCACGTGCCTCTCTCAGCCCCAGCTCTGAACCTCTCCTCCCCCCTCCAAGGTTCTCAGCCCCCTTCTTCCCCAGTAACTTCTATCCCAAATAAACAAAAAAATTTTTTTTCAAAATAAAACAGTTGTTTTTATTGTGTCTGCAGGGAAGAGGTAAGGAGGGGGGAAGGGAGAGGTTGTTGTGGGAAAGGCAGAGAGGGGCAAGTCACAGGCTGCTAGTGGGGAGGCTTTGAGTAGAGTTACTGGGGTCCTTCAGAGAAACTCTCCCTCAGGCCCTCCTGGTTGTGTACCCCCACCTGATGGGCTTGACAGATGGCAGCTGTGCGTTGCTGCTGAAAGGCCTGTCCCTTCTAGCCAGTCTCTAACCTCACCATACGGAAGGCCTCCCCCTTCCTCTCTTTAATGTTATGGAGCACAAAACATGCTGACACCATCTGGGGGATGTTGTGCTCCCCCACATCCAGCTGGGTCAGGAGGCACCTGAACCGTGCCTTCAAGCTCCCAAAGGTACATTCAGTCTGCCCTACCTAGGCATCCATTTAAGTGGTCCTTACTCAGGTCCAGGTGGCCGGTGTGGGTCTTCATCAGCCATGGCATTAGGGGGTAAGCTGCATCCCACATGATGCACAGTGGCATCTCAACATCTCCAACCTTGATGCTGTGCTCAGGGAATAAAGTGCCAGCCTCCAGCTTGTGGTAGCGGTAGAGGCTGGAGGCTGGAGTTGTGGAAGATGCGGGTGTCATGTGCCTTCCCTGTCCAGCCGACAAAAATGTCCGTAAACTGGCCATGGTGGTTGACCAGGCCCTGCAGGACCATCAGAAATATCCCTTCTGATTAATGTATGCTGCACGGTGGTCAGGGACCTGGATGCAGATGTGAGTTCCATCAGTAGCCCCCCACAACTGGGAAAGCCCAGGAAGGCAAATCCAGCAATGATGGAGTTCAGGTTGCCCAGGCGGATGACCCAGTGCAGCAGGATGGTTTTAATGGCCCTCACCACCTGCATGCAGAATGAGACAAACAAAGAAACAAAACAGAGCATCAAAGGGGGCCAGAGCTCTTAGGAGGTCCCTGAGACCTCCCGTTCCTTCCCCTCCAAACACCCCAGCAGTTACCCCTATGAAGCCCCCTCCCACAGGGCTGTGTGAAGGTGGGACTGCAGAACCCCTTGAAGATGGCGTTTCCCCACCACCACCCCCAGCCAACTCCCCACACCCTCAACCCCTCCTTTCCTTAGGGTCCCCCTTTCCAGTACTTCCCCCTCCAAGGACTGCAGCCCAAAAGCACCATACCTGCATGAGGAGGGCCCTGACAGTCGATTTTCTCACACCAAACTTGTTGCCTGCAGACCAGTAAATGTTGGGCATGAACAGCTTCCAGACAATGATAACGACCTGCTTCTCCGTCATCTGAGTGTCCCGTCATTGGAGGGCAGGAATGAGCCAGGCACACAGCTCCAGGAATGTCTCCTTTCTCATTTGGAAGTTTTGTTGCTACTGCTGGATGTCCCACTGCTCCATCACCAGCCCGTCCCAGCAGTCGAACTGGTGTCCAGCCACCAGAAGTGTCACTCCACTGTGCTGTGTGATTGCAAGGGCTTTGCTCCTGTACACAGGCAGAGGTTCTCCATGATGAGCTCAGGGTTGAGCTCATGCGGGCCATGAAGGCAGTCTGCAGAAACTACTGAAGAAACTGCAGCATGTCAGTGTGGGGCCATCGTGTGCCCGAAGGCAGCTCCGGCTCCATGGCAAGGAGAGCTGTGGTGTCCAAAGGCAGGACAACCAGTGTACGCAGAGGAAATGCTTTGCTGCCCCTCAGAGAGGTAGGCAAGCAAGCAGAAGGACCTGAGGGGTTCCCCTTAAGCATGCGCCTTAGGCGGCAACTACCGGAAGCAACTGCTGACCTCATGCCCTGCCTGAACTGGTTCTGTTTGGCCATAAATGCGAGATAGTGTCCAATCAGTGTGGACGCTATCTTTTGAAATAACACATCACTATTTTGTTGAGTTTTTTGCATGTGGACACTCTATTTCAAAATAGCTTTCCGGGAAGATACCTTCTGGAAAAGCTTTATTCTGAAAGAAGCTTTCAGTATAGATGTACCTTCGGTCTTCCAGTCCTTTCTCATCATTTTGGTCCCAGCCAGCAACTGGAGCTCCTTTTATCTAACCATACTGCACTCTGATTGGCTCCTTCCCTTCAGTCTTTTAGTTAGGCTTGAGGGATACATCTTACTATTCCTTTCCTGGGACAGGCTGTGGTAGGATCATGAGGCCTCTGGTAGGGGGCTCTCAAAGGGCCTGGTACACCACACCAAGCCATATCTACAATTGCTATACATGGGCTTTGCTCCGCTACAGTCTATGGAGTTACAGTAAGTTACAGTAGTGGAAGTTCTGCTCCACCACCCATATTTTGAGCTTGAGTATTATTTTTAGGACATGCTTGGTTATTATTTATTTTTTGCTCCTCTTTATAATTTTATATTTTCTGGCTTTTACTAAGTTCACCCATCTCCATTTTCCATTTGGCTGCTGATATTAAATTCCCTACAGATTAACTCTAGGCTACTAGACATTTTTTCCTATTAGTTAAGCTCTTTGTAGCCAAATCTACAAAGTGACGAGCAACTTAGAAACAGCTGAGTTTTAAATAGCTTCTGCTATGGATGTTTCAGAGAAATGATGAACTAGATCCTCCAGTTTTACAGCAAACCCAGTGAGGGAACTAACTACTGAGAAAATGCCAGGAGACAGGTTCTGCCACTCTTATTTGCATTTAGTAGTACCTTACTCCAGGAGTAATACTGCTAAAACCAGTAGAACTAAATTAATTTTAGACTAAGGTACAATTCAATGCACTAGAGCCGTGATACATTCAACAAGGACCTGGATAAATCTGGTATTAAATATGAATATGCAAAATTTCACCTCATTTTCGACTCAATGCAGGGGGGCTTGCAGGTACATGGTGGAGGGGGTGTTCTGTCATTTTGCAGATCACAAGGAATCATCCTGGAGAATTCATCCTGTTCAAAACATTATTCTTTCTATGCCTTTCCCTCCCTCTGGTAGTTGAACTCACTCAGGATAAAAGAGCAGATGATACCAATGAGTAGAACAGTAAGTCCTATGTGAAATTCAGACAAGTATCTACCGAGTCCTCTGGAGACAAAGTTTTGTATCATTAACAAACAGTTCTGATCATCCTTGTTTCTAATATGCCTTCTTGGCAACATCCTTGCAATCTCAAGTGTGATGCTCATACAATATAGCTTTGATAGTCTTTTGGGAGAAGGAACTTTCTCCTGGATTTCTGTCATTATGTACATATGTATTATTCATTCCATTTCTGGATCAGTGACTTCTCTTTTTGCTCTTCTCCACAAAGTGCTCAGAAGCATCAGATGTATAAACTTTGCTTAGATAACAAAGAGAGAGCTGGCTTAGAAATACCTAATGTGACTGGAGAGGAATACAACTACCTAGGAGACACGGTTGCATAAGATAGCTAGGCAACAGTGTTATGCATACAAAAAGATTCAGGCTTAAGTTTGGTTTTCAGCTCATGCCTTCTCCAGGACCTCATCATGACCTTCACCCCAACTTCATCCTGGGTCTATAAGAGTTACTCTTTCTAACCTTTACATGACTTCTGATGCCTTTAGAAGACTTCCTAATGGGAATCAGCCATCTACTTCTTCCCTCATGAGGCCAGGCAGAGATTCCATTAAAATCTCACATACACTCTGGGATATTTCGAGATGGGAAGCCTAGAAAATACACAGTATGTCAATAGACTGAGTACCCTCACCTTTATTCTACTTGCTTGTGCTCTAAACACCTTTTCTTTTGTCTTTCTTGCTATTTTTGTTTCCCTCACTTCTTGCTTCTCTGTGATCCCCAAATTTATACTATATGGGTGAACCTCCGAATAATATTTGCAAAAGATTTTTATTATTATACTTATTAAGACTCTGAACTTTTCACTTCAAAATGGTTTTTTTTCATATATTTCCTCAATTTTGGGGGATGGAATATAAACAGTTTCAAAACAGACACAGATCACATTGGTAAGAGTAAGGCAAGTGAGCATAGTGTTTAAGCTTCTCTGTACTATGTTTCCATACCTTCAGTGCTTTTACTTATGAGCAATCAGGTAAATGAAATTGTACTAAGTGGGTGACGTGGACACACTAGTGTTAGGCAATAGATTGAGAGCAGCAGACTCATTTTAGTTGTGACCTCAACTTGATTGGAAACCCATGTTTCATCCAAATTTACTACATTTTTTTGAGGTTTACTTCACTGCCCAAAGGAATCTAGTGATAATGGATGCTATTGCAGGTCAGTTGCCTGACAAAAGTGCAGTCAAATGAAGACTAAGTTAAGGATTGGCATGGGATTTAAAATTGTACTTCAACTTTCAATGAATAGTATGAGGAAAAGCAAGAATGGTGCTGATTTTGCTAATCTATGTTGTGCAAATACTACCCCCATATTCTTTTGCTCACCTAGGGAGAATTAAACAAACTGGCAAATCAGCTTCTTTTCCTCTTTGAATGCACCAGTGTAGAAATTCCTGATGAGAATTTTACAGATGTGAAAAGAAAGGAAAAGGCAGAAGCATATTCCATGTTTTTGGAACTAGGCCAAGCTTCTTATGTTGATCTGAACAGGGCCTGAGATTACTGCTGCTGTTTTACAACTATTCGCTCAGAGGGTGGCTTATATACAGTATAATTTTTAGGATGTTGCTGCCAACTGGGGAGCCTTCCAACAATTATTTTTCAAATAGCAAATTATTTTTAAATGGGATGCTTTTCTCTGATATTCCCCAATACATCCATTTTCCATCTTGCCTTTTTAATTAGTCAATATACTGAATGTATATCTATTACTATCATTGCTCCTGCCAGTCGTATGCTTTTAATTGGGGATGCATTTCCTTTTGTTCTCTTTCTCTAATTGTATAAAATGGTGCTTATTTCAATTGCTACTGACTGCTTGGAAATGAATTGCCTACTCCTGAGTCCTACTGTCCATCATACATATACTTGTGATCACAGGAAGAGAAGTACATTGGTACTTTATTACCTGTTTTTCCCGTTTCTCTCTCAGATAGAAATTGATCTTTTTGTTACTTAATGGCTGTTTTGAGTTAGTCCTTTCCTGTGTACTGTTTTTTGTCTGTAGAAATGTAGAGGATCCATGGACTACATGTTCAGTCTGATTGGCTTTGCTTCCTGTATAGTAGATAAAGTAGAGAGGAAATGAATAATAATAGTATCTTTATCATTCTGCAGTGACCCTGTATGTGTCTCTCATATAATTATTGGACTTCAATAGTGGTTCTAATAATAATAGTTATCAATGCTCTGCATTCTGACAAAACCTTTAATCTCATTTCAAAGCAGTTTACAAACATTAAATCAGTATCATAGTAGTTCAGGGAAGGCAGGTCTCTTTTACAACCTTATTAAAAATGGGTAAGCTGAGGCACAAGAGGCTGAGTTAGTTGCCCAAAGATACGCAGCAAGTCAATGGCTGGTGGGGTGGTACTCTTTCCTTTGTTGTCTACTATTTCTATATTACCAATTATGTCAATTTATAATATTGCAAAAATTTCTATTTTAGTAATATTCTGCTCTCTGTCCTGCCTTTATTTTCCCAGCCCTGAAAAAAGTAGAGTGATTATCACCTGAACACAGCAGTGATTTTGCTAGGATCTTGTAAGCCTGTGGGACCTCTGGCTATAATATCACATTTCCACTTACATTCCTATTATCACCAATTATGTTTCTAAACATCTTTTCCACCACCAGA